AAAATGTCAGGTTGTTGCGTTTATGGTTGTTCAAACCATAGATGTCATGTAAACGCTAGATCTAGTGATGGCCAAACGAAGCAATAAAGCAGTATTGAACCACTTTGCCAATTGTATTGAACTTGGGTTCATTCATTCAAAGGTTCATTTCAGTGACATCTCATAGCAAAATAGTAGACAACACACACGGTCAATAGATGTTCAGCTGATTCAGGGATTGAGAGAGGGTGTGCTTTAGGAAACAAAGTTGGTGCAGGGAACGTGGGTTGTGCTTGTGTAACTCAGGCAGTCATGAAATTTGGGGACCGGAATTCAGAGGTTTTTATTTAGGAATAAGAGTTTTTCCTCTGTTTTTGGACTCAGGCCATTTCTTTTTTTGCTGACAACTTCTCCAGCTTTTGAAAAAAACACATTCACAAGGAACAGATGGTAAATGGACTGTACTTACTTAGCACCTTTCTATCTTATTTCAAGATACTCACAGCACTTTACACTACAATCTGTGCCTCATTTACCCATTCACACAGCACTCTACTAGATCTATACAAAGCTAACTGAACAAATCATTCTAAAGAGACTAGGGCTGGGTACCTTTTTTAGACATCGGTGTCGGTACCTTCACTTCGGTGTCGCTTCCTGGACGGTTCTGTTTTCAGTACCAATTTTGTAATTAATAATAATTCTAACAAGAATAAAATTATGTTACACATTACGGCTTGCAGCGATTCGGCTTGCTAAAAAAAGAAAAAAGAAATACTAAAGCATGCAATAGGGGTACAAAATACAGTACCACAAAGTGAAAATAAATATAATATTTACAAGGTTCAAAAGAAATATAATAAACAACTACATGGTAGAATATAATGCTGAGAGCAAGATGAATTTGTATAAATAAGTATTTCACAGGTAGTAATATTAGCTTAAACGTACATGATATATATTGCACATTATCATAATGTACACAGGTTATGTGACAGGTTATTGCACAGGTAGTAACAGTGAGATGAATTATGATGGTGAGGTAGTGACACATGATACAGCCACATAATGCAGCAGCACTAAACATATTAGCTGTCACACATGTGGCTCAGTGCAATGTTATTGTCAAGAGTTCAGTGTTATTATCCACAGCACCTTACAAGCTAGCTGTTTTTTTTGCTACTTTTCCTTTTAATTACCATTTTACTGTATTTTCACTTGTTTTAAAAAATTGTATGCATCCTTTATGATTGTCCACTGTTGTCATCATTGTTTGTTGAAATCAGGTCTCTCTTGTAAATGAGTCCCCTGATGCTCAGTGGGATTAAGTCAGAGAGTCAGAGATTCTTTATTGTCATTCGCACCTCACGTGGTTCATGTGGTGGAGCGAAATTATGTACACGGGGTCCCAGTTACATCCAACAATAAAATGTAAAAGAAGGAAACTGATAACATCCAAGATATGAACTAAGAAAAACATCAACTAAATATACACTAAACAGTAATAGCATAAAAACGTCACGTCGAACATCAGCACAAACATGAGCACGAGTCCGTGTAAACAGATGAGCACGCATGAACACATCAACATGAAACAGATCAGCAGCAACATGAAACAGATCAGCAGCAACATGATGTCATTTTTTCACAGTGATTATTCCAGTTAGAGATTCATGAGTCTAACAGCCTCAGGGTAGAAGCTGTTCCTCAGTCTAGTGGTTCTACACTTAATGCTCCTTAACCTCCTTCCTGAGGGGAACAGGACAAAAAGTGTGTGTGCTGGGTGAGTGGGGTCCTTCATGATGCAGGTGGTCCTCTTCCTGCATCTGGAGGTGTAGATGTCTGTGATGGTGGGGAGACTGACTCCAACAGACTTCTGTGCAGCCTTCACCACTCTCTGCAAAGCTTTTCTTTCTGCAGCTGTGCAGCCTCCATGCCACACATTGATGCTGGAGCACAGGATGCTCTCCACTGCACACCTGTAGAAGGAGGTGAGGACTGAGCTTCCCAGACCAGCTCGTCTCAGCCGTCTGAGAAAGTAGAGTCTCTGATGAGCTTTCTTCATCAGGCTGGTGGTGTTGTTGCTCCAGCTGAGGTTGTCATTCATGTGTGTACTTGTAGCTGGAGACCACTTCCACTGCAGATCCTCTTATGTTCAGGGGGGTGTAGATGTTTTTGTTCCTTCTGAAGTCCACAATCATCTCCTTTGTCTTCTTCACATTGATGTGAAGGTTATTCTCTTTGCACCAGCTCTCCAGGTGTTCCTGTCTAAATAAAGGTTGAATGAATTATTATCAAGAGTTCAGTAACCTGACAGCTTGTGGGTAATAACTTGACATTGTACTTTTAAGATTTTTTTTAAAGGTTTCTGTACGGCCATGTTGCTTTTATCAATTTCATGAGTACTTTTTGTGTGTGTGTGTGTGTGTGTGTG